ATCAAAAGCTTTCTCTAAATCAAGTTTTAAAAGCATTGATGAACAATTACCTTTCATTTTAGCTAAGTAATTTATAGTTTCCTGCACTATTATAGCATTGTCAGAGGCTCTTTTCCCTTGTTGAAAACTTGTTTGTGTTGGACCTATAATTTTGTTAATAATTGGCTTGGTAATAAGCTTATAAACCGTATTACAAAAACTAATAGGCCTGAATTTTGTATTGACATCCCCGTCATTTAACCAATTAATACGAGATTTTAATTGCCAAATATGCACAACTAAGAACAAACGAATTTCTAAGAAATTATATTCCATAATTTCTAAATGGAATTTTTTAGGGAAGTCCGTTGTAAATTGGCTTGGACATTATGTTGGAAATTTTATATTTTTGATGGACCTCTTTAGAATATTTTTTAGTAGTAATTAATCCTGTTTATTATCTAGAAATCTACATAAAAGGTTGGTGGATTCACAAATTTTTAAATTCGGAGGTGAAGAGAGATTTTCAATTATAAAATAAAATATAGTTAGTGGTTTCACTTATATGATCAAATACTTTGAATTTGCATAATGCAGTAGTACTAAAAGTCATTTATATGAACCTGATGTTGCACAAAGATACGTAAGCCAGAATACATAACGCTTATACAGAGGAAACAACTAAATTCATGGAGAAATCTTACTACATGTCAATGTGCGCTAATAAACTTATAGTTATAACTATCAAAAATAATCTCTAATACCAGACACTTTTAAGATTATCTTGTAGAGGTTCTAATTTCAACTTCTCATATTTCTGTGAGAAATTATATTTAAAAAGAAAGAAAAACAAAAATCTAACAGAAGGCAAGCAAATGAGAAAAAGTTTAAGAAAATCAGTGGCTTTGGCATATTATCAAACACTCCCGGTGCATAAGTGTGCAAATCTAATACAATTAACGCCATGAGTGTGAAAATCAAGCGAAAATTCCAAAAGAACAGAGGAAGTATCAGATACCCATTAAAATCGCATTAACAATAACAAGGTGCATTTAATTAGAAATAAGATCATAGGAAAACTTACTAGTAAAGACAGGCATGCAATATATGTCTTGTTTAGCTATCCCTGTGCCATTGTTTAAGGAAGGACAAAAATGAAAGCAAAAGGAAATTTACAGAGCAATAATGCACTGAAGAACCAAGAAAGAATTAGAAACATCGAAAATCTGAGGGCAAGCAACCCCACTTCCAACCGAGAGTTTGTGAGTTCGAGTCTCCCAAAGAGCAAGGTGAGAAGTTCAGGGAAGTATGTCGGGGGTCTATTTGGAAACAGTTTCTCTAACCTAGGGTAGGGGTAAAGTGTGCGTACACACTACCCTACCCAGACCCCACTAAGTGAGATTATACTGAGTTGTTATTATTGTTGAAACGAAGTGGAATAGAAGACAGGTGTCGCAGAGGAAAAAAAAGGCTAACATGTGTCAGTGACATGAGGAAAACCTAAAAGACAGTAATTAAAAAGCAAAGTACCAGAAAATCCATGACAGACATTCATAATTACTAAGTTGCCCTGTTCGTACACCCTGTTAGTCCACCCCAACTCTCATTTCTAAATAATAGTAATATTAGGTTTGATTCTAGTGTTCTAAAACGTAAAAATTTAAAATTATCGGATTAAAGGTGTGTTTGGTATAACGGAAAATATTTTCTTAATAAACAAGTACTAATTTTATTCATTTTTCGGTGTTTGGTACGCAAATTAAGGGAAATGACTTCTCAAGAGTATTTTTAAATAATTTAGATATAATAAACATGAAGCCATATACTTTCAAACCAACAACCTTTTTCGAACCCACAAATTTTATAAACTTTCGAACCGNTGGGATGGATGGGTAGTAGGGTGGGTGGTAGCGGAAAAATTGAAATTGAAAAAAAAATCTTTTTTGGAGAGGGGGTGGGGAAGGTTGAGAAGAAGTTTTGAAAAATATTTTCCCTTCTCTTGATAAGAAAAATATTTTCCTCCATTTGGAGGAAAATGAGTTCGTAAGGAAAATGTTTTCCAAAATATTTAAGTCAACCAAACATGGAAAAATTAAAAAATATTTTTTGGAAAATATTTTCCTTCGTACCAAACACACCCTAAGTCGTCCAAAATAATAACTTCTTACATCAACCAATATGATAATTACTGTAAAAGATACAATAAAAATCTAATGTAACTGATTAAATTATATTAATGTTGTAATATCTTTTATATTGTCAGTCTATAAACTCATTTAAAAATCTCACGAGCATAAGTTATGTTACACGCGCCTTCCTAAGATTCCTTGGAATAGCGACGTAAAACTAAGTAACTGATGTCAGTGCAGTTACTATCCGCCAATATAGGTCCCCTCCGTACGCTAGACGAGATTGTCAGTGCCGTATGAGAAAACCAATGTCAAGAGCAATTGAGAGAACATGAATGAGAATTGAGAATGAAAGAAAGCTTGATTGCATTAATGAAAGCTATTACAGAAATGCAACACGGTGTCAAAAGGGAGAAGTACCAGTACAGAGAATTGTTTGCTTGCTAGAAATTTTGATTGCTTGATCCCCCCTAATAGTGCTTAAAAAAATAAACCAAAGTTGCAAGACTTGACCTAACTAAGCTAAAGAATCATAATTGACGTAAATATGAAATAAAACTACTCTATATTTACAATGAAAAAGACTTAGTTTTCTACAAGGTAGAAGCAGGTTCGTTGTCAGCAACCTTGTCTTTGGCATCACGGTCTGCGCGCACAACACTGTTGGTATCTGCCTGTGGCTGGGCGCTTGCGAAGGTTATCAGAGGTGTGACAGAGGCACATGCACGCTTGTCACTTGGCGCAACCAAGACCACGGGGCCGTCCATGGCGCTAGGCGTTTGGAGGCTTGCTAGGACGCCATGAGGCGAGTCCAAGGGGGTCATGTGGCATGGCTGAAAAGCCGCCCATGACATTCTCCCCCACCTGAGTTGGCGACGTCCTCGGCGACTTACTTGCAAGATAATCATCATTTAGGCTCTTGTAGGCTTTGAGGTTTGTTCCCTTCTCCCAAGTATTTTCCTCTGCATCACAGCCCTGTCATTTCACCAAGAACTCTTGGTGATCTTTTCTTGAGGCATGAATCACTCGATCATCAAGAATAGCTTCAGCACGCCTTTTTTCGGTTGAATTGGGGCCTCGAATACTGGGTATTATGAGTTGGCTCCGTGAAGGATCCTCCATGTCTTCCCGAAAAGGTTTCAGAGGACTGACATGGAAGACGGAATGGATTTTGCACCAAGCTGGGGCATCCACCTGGTATGCAACTTTCCTAATACGTCTTTCAATAGACAAGGATCCAATGTATTTTTGCAATAGGCGAGGGTCATGGACCCCTGCAAACAAGTACCGCTTTAGAATTTTGACCATCACTTTGTCTCCTACTTGATATTCAACAAAGCGATGATTTTGATCAGCATGCCTCTCCATCCGCTTTTGGGCTTTGACAAGATTGCTTCAGACTATCTCCAAATTTCGCTTCCATTCTTTTGAGAAGCTAGCAGCTCGAGGAGATTTTGACATGTTTGGTGCATTTACGGTGTGTGGGAGTAGTGGTTGTTGTCCGATAACAATTTCAAAAGCGTTTTTTTGTATTAGAGCTCTTTTGTGAATTGAAACACAGTTGAGTAGTATCCAGAAGTTTCACCCAGTTCTTCTGCGATCCCCTTACAAAGTGGCGGAGATATTCCTCCAGCATGCCATTGAACCGCTCCGTTTGGCCATCAAATTGCGGATGAAAACTTGACCTGTGACTCAGTTTTGACACGAGGCACTTAAAGAGTTGTGTCCAAAAGTTGATAGTGAAGCGTGAGTCGCGATCACCGATGATGTCTTTAGGCATGTCCCAATATTTGACGACATGAGAGAAGAAGAGTCGAGCTGTATCCTCTACTGAGATGTATTGTGGGGCTGCTACAAAGGTAGCATACTTGGAAAACCGATCCACCACAACCAAGATAGTTGTGAGATCTGGAACCTTGGCAATCCGGTAATGAAATACAGGGAAACGCTTTCCCAAGGTCTCTTTGGGACAACTAGTGGTTCCAAGAGTCCTACTTGTGTCAAGTGGTCCGATTTGTCCTTCTGGCATACTAGATAAGTCTTCACATACTGAGCGACGTCATCGACCATTTGAGGCTAATAATATACACGTCGAAGTAATGCCATGGTACGTTCTTCACCGGGGATGGCTGGCCCACAAAGTATCGTGACACTTCTCTAGAAGAGTACTTCGCAGATCTCCTCCTTTAGGAACATAAAGTCGATTCTCTTTCACTTTCAGAAAACCATCTTCCATGTAGAACTGGCAAGACTTTCCCTGTCCTACCAAATCAACCAAATAATGTGCAACATGATCCTTGATGAGTAGATCTTGTATCTTTTCTTTTGTGGTGGTGGCTACTTCGCTCCCCCTTAAGGTGGCGAGTAGGCACATTGATGCTAGATCAGCTCTCCGACTAAGCGCATCAACAACATGATTAGTCTTCCCACTTCAATACTCAAGGTTGAAGTGAAATTCCGCTAGGAGTTCCTGCCACCTGGCCTATCGACCATTCAGCTTTGGTTGGATCATGAAATGACTAACAATTGTGTTGTCTTGACCACAAACGGGGTTCCCAGCAGATAGTGCCTCCAAAGGCATAAGCAATGAATGACAGCCAATAATTCATTCTCGTGGGCTACATAGCACCGCTTTGTATCCTTCAGCTTCCAGCTCTTGTACGCTACAGGATGCCCTTCTTGTAGAAAGACTCCGCCAAGGTCATAGTCAGAGGCATCCGTTTGTACCTAGAATGGCTTGGCCAAATCGGGGAGGGCCAAGACGGGGCTACTAGACATAGCTGCTTTCAATGCGTTAAAGGCCTCTGCTCGCCTGGGTCCCCAATACCAAGGTGTGACCTTCTTGAGGAGTTCTGTCAATGGCACTGCGATGAGGGAGTAATTTTTCACAAATCACCGATAGAAGTTGCATAGGCGAAGGAATGCCCTCAAGGCGTGGATATCCTTAGGCGGCGACCAATCTGTGATAGCTTGAATCTTCTGTTGGTCCATCTTGATCTGCCCTTCCTCGACGAAATGTTCGAGGAAGTCAATTTGTTTTGAGCAAAGGATCACTTGGATAGCTTCGCATATAATTTGTGCTCCTGCAATTGGGCTAGGACCTTCTGCAAGTGCTCCAGGTGTTCTTCCAGTGTTTGGCTATATACCACAATGTCATCCAAGTAGACCACCACAAATTCATCAATGTACTCTCGGAAGACTTGGTTCATCAGGGTGCAAAAAGTGGCTAGAGCGTTAGCCAAGCCGAATGGCATAACCAAGAAGTCGTACGACTCATATCTTGTCACATAGGTCGTCTTGTGTTCATCACCCTCTTCAATCCGGACTTGACAATAACCTATCTTTAGGTCTATTTTGGAGAACACTGTCGCACCACCCAGTCTATCAAACAAGTCTGCCATTAGCGGAATAGGGTACTTGTTCTTCACGGTAATTTTGTTTAGAGTCCAATAATTGACACAGAGTCATAGGCTGCCATCATGTTTCTTTTGGAATAGCACAAGGTACCCATATGGGGAATTGGAGGGCACGATGATCCCGTATGTCTAGCATTTTCGTCAATTGTCTCCGAAGCTCGGTGAGTTTGGGTTATGACATTTTGTAAGGTGCTCGGTTAATGTAGCTTCGCACCCGGAACCAACTCAATCTCATGGTCCATAGTGCGCCTAGGCGGGAGTCACTTTGGCATGTCTTGTGGCATGACGTCTTCAAACTCTAGTAGAAGCTCCTTCACAGGTGCAAGAATATGACCCGAGGAAAGTTCTATATCTTCAATGCAGATGGTAGCCAGGAACGTAGGTTCATGTCTTTTGACCCCCTTCTTCAACTGTAAGGCCGAGATGTTCTCAGCGGCCATCTTCATGGGCATGCACAGAATAATGCAGGGCTTGGCCCCGTTTGTTCCCATTATCAGTAGCATATCTACATATGGTGCGGGCATGGTGTTGGTTTGCCTCAGGAATTCCAACTCAACTATCAATTCGAAGTCATCTATGATCACCACGCACTGGTTGAATTTTCCTTCATAAGGGCCAAGCTTCACTGGTACTTCTTTGGCTATTCCACTCATTTGCTGAAGAGGTGAGTTGATAGCCTTGACACGACCCCTACGCTTTCCTACAACTAAACCAAGGTGCTCCACTTGAGTCGAAACTAAGTAGTTGTGGGTGTGAGCACGTGATTTTTGCCTTACGAAAACTACTCCAAAATAAATCAAAAAATAAAATAAATTTCTTTTACTGTGTAATTTTTGAATTTGTGTGGTGTTAAATATTTGTGTTATGTCCGTAAATGTTTACTTTGTCATAATAAAAATGAAAATTAAAATAAAATACATGTTGCATGCATATAGGATTTAATTATGCATTTGTTCAAAATAAAATCACAAAAAATATGCATTTTATTCTATTTTTAATATTTCACTGTGTGATTAATATTTTATCTGTATGTTGAATAGTTGTTATGAAGTGATTAATATTTT